ATATATATATATATAGATAGTATATGCATTTGCCCTAAGTATGCATGTTCAAGGCGCAGTCCAAATCCTTTGCAGAGCAGCTCATTGCCCAGGAGCGTGGGTCGCTTGTGCCTCAAGCTTTTCTGCTATGTGCGGGGGTTCAGGGTTTAGGGGAGTTTCTCGAAATAATCCAGAAACAATCCCTAGTGAAGATCCCCATAATCCACCTATAATCCCTACACACACTTTTTAGGATTCCTGATGGCCGGCTTCCAAAGTGGATGCCTAAGAAAATGTCTAGTGCCTGTAGGGCTACTATTATGGAGAGTACACGGGATCCTACACTACACTCTCCTTTCCTCCTTTCCCCAAAACAGACCTCGAACGGGGATGAAGTAAACCCTATCAATATCCCTATGTAACCCATTATAATAGTTTCCATTTTCGTTTTCATTGTCACATAACCCGTTACAGTAGTTTCCATTTCTTTTCCATTATCCCCCCAACTTGCTGAGGCTGTGCCCTCGACTTCCAAGCAAGATAGCACTGGAGATCTTGGCGGCAAATGCCAAGATTGCTGAGGAGCCACTGACAATTAGCCAGTTTATCATGTACACGCATATATATATATATGGGGGCTACATGGGGGTTATCTAGGGGTTATACAGGGTTATATGGGGGTCAGGTCAGTCATAATTACAAGGAAACCATAGGATTATTGATTGTGTATCCATATTAATGGTTGACTAATGTACGTTCCGTAACAGCAACCCAGATCACAAGCGTTCGCCGCGTGGGTTGTAGCATGTCAGAAAGCCCTAAACCCTAAACCCTGAATAGTAGCTTCCATTTTCTTTCCCATCATCCCTATATAACCCCCATATTATATCCACCTAAGGGGGGCTATGCCCCTAAACCAAAAGCCCTAAATAGTAGTTTCCATGTTCTTTTCCATTTTGGCTATATCGCCCTGAGATGACCCATATACCCCTACCCTAAACCCTAAACCCATATACCCCAATATACCAGCTGTTTTCAGGAGATCACGTTTGTCTTCCGAATGAAGCTGACCACTGAAGATGGTAATATTCCGAACCAGGCCCGGGTCCTTTTCTTCAAGAGGGGGGTCCCAAACATAGGCAACAAGTTACTCTGATCCTTGTTTTAGGAATCTTGCAAAGGAGCCCCTAAGTTATGGAAGCTCATAAACCGCAAGCCCTAAACCCTGTGAGGGTGGTTTTCATGACTGACTGGAGAGGTGTGTTTCCGGTCACCGTGGGACTCTTGTCAGGACCCGGAAAAAAAGCCTAAACCTTAGTTAAGCCCCAAACCTTCCGACCTTTCCAGTCTACTTGGAGTCCCTGCAGCTAAAGCCTTGGAGGATAACGAAAGCTCTTGTTAAACAAGTTACTGTCAATATTAGGGATCTATAGGGTTTAGGGGTTTAGGGTTCAGGGTGTAGGGTTTAGGGAGAAAATGGAAACTACCACATTATCTAGGGATGAGAGTTTAGAGACATCTACCCCAACAATGGAGAACTCAAATGGAAAGAACATTGACAATGACACGGCAACTGGGATTAGGTAGTCGTTGACAGGAATTTTATGATCTACTCACAAAAAATGGGATGTAGAGGGATATATGCCCCAATTATGGAGGATCAAATGGAAAACCAAAATGGAAATGCGATGGCAACTGGGATTGCAGTATGTATAGTGGTTTTTGGGGATTATATGAGCTACTGCCAATGTTAGTGATGTATGTGGACATATACCCCGGAGCATCAAATGGAAAGACAATGGAACATGAAATGGCCACTGGGAATATGGAGTGGTTGACAGGGATTATACTTGCTTTTGGCACTACTAGGGTTACCAAGGGATCATTAAGAGTGGACCATTAAGAGTGGACATGGGGAACCCCCTGGCTGTTTAGTAGAGTCCCTAACACATTCCTTGATAGGGACCCAAATCTATTAGACATAAAATATAGATTGTAGCTCAAGTGGACATTTCCTGTTTGGCAGGCATCACAAATCGTGCGAACGGGGATTGAGGCCATCCACCTGCAATGCCGGCATTCTCTTATGCACGTACCTTGTCAAGGTGGAGTGGAAAGAGAACTCGGCAGGGACCACCAATGATGAGCAGTCTGCGTGGCTGTCTTAGATCAAATCCAAGACGAATTTAAACGCAAAGTGTGAGAGGGATTTGGATGAGAGGCTTTGCAAGCTAACTCAAGGCTTGCGCGTGCCGAAGACGATCTTCTAGAGAAAGACTCACTCTGGGATCCCATCTCCCGCGGCGCGAAGCTCGCCTTCCCCTCAGCCAGAAGACGGCTGTGAAGATTCGGTGTTTGGAATGCCCTATATATCATCATGGGAACCCAAAGAGGAGGCCACAATTTGGACAACAAACCATGTTCATGTTTGCCTGCGCCTAGATTCTGCCGCTAGCGGCATGTGACCTGATGAATGAGACCTTCTCTCTGGTGACCACCTCGGCTTTAGTAATCTAAACACCTTAAAGGGGGTTGATATACGGGATTATTTAGGGGATTATATAAGGGGTTATATAGGGATAGTGGAAAATAAAATGGAAAACCACCATTTAGGGTTTAGGGCTTAGAGTTCAGGGCTCGTATGGAATGAAGGGCAACTGGGGATTGTATAGAGATTACTGTTCTGATCAATTTCTTCATTCCTTGTTAACCAGAGGCAGGCAATGTGAAAACTTGTACAAGTTCCTGTCTGAGGTTCTTCCATAAAAAGGACTCAATAAGTTGGGATGTACCCGGGGGCCCTAATTTGTAGAGCTACCCGCACATGCTCCTCTGGCTGCCAACCTCTTTGACCTGAGATGTGCAACCGCGGCAAGAAGATCCATGCAAGCCCCTGAGAAAAAGCGTTGCAGATGTTTTGATGCGCTGCAGCGGCTGCGTGGAACCACAACTTGTCGGCCTAGGCTGACGGAACTTCAGCTTCTTTGAGTGAGCGATGATCTCGGCAGCAGCTGTGCACTTGTGGCATGCAGAATAAGGCTGTGAGTAACTGCAAGGAAAAGAACAGTCCCTATATGCCGAAGTTTGTCCAAATAAGAAAAACTGCCCGTATACCAATCCAGTAGCCAACCAATGTTTTTTGCAGCGGTTTCCTTCCCATCCCACCGCAAGGCAAGGAAGCTCGACGAGCGAAGAGTTTCAAATTGAAGCTTCCCTTCGGCAGCTCCGTCCATGACCAAGGAAGCTAAGCTGCTTCTACCAGAACACTTTGGTGGCATCAACATCAGGGGTTCTATTGGGGATTAAAGAGGGATTATAGCGTATATATTTGCATTATATAGGGGTTAGGGAAAATGGAAAAGTAAATGGGAACTACTATGATAACAGTATGTAACAGCAATACTCGTATCGCACCTGCAGCGGCATCATATCGTTGGGCAGCGTTTGTCATATCGCCGCATGCTTGGGCCTGAGTTTCCTTCGCTTGGCTGTCATTGCAGGAAGCACTGCAGCAGAACATCCTTGCACAAATCAGCTGATGGGCTCAAGTTTTCGGAGTTGGGAGCCGTGCAACAAAGCACTGGGCGAGGCTTGGTTGCAATTGCTGATAAAGAGCTTCTCAAAAACTCCTTACACATTCTGAATGAGATATCCCAGCCCTAGCCATACGTAGGTTTCCAGATGATACATGCATATATGCTCTACTGTATATAGAACGGCGGGGCCCCAAAAGATTGTGCAGCTTGCAACATGTCACAAGATGTTTAAGAAGCACCCTTATGCTTGCTTCCTTTCAAATTTGCAACTTTGGAGTCATGAAAGGACATCCCCTCCCACCACTCAACTCATCTAGATCTGGATGTAAGAGGCCTTCTTCGTGAAAAGGCAGACAGGGTGTTTGGGAACCTAGTATCTACCCAAAACCCCTGAACCCCTAAACCCCTAAACCCTAAAGCCCTTTGACTTGTGGGAGGTGCATGTTTGGGAGTCCTTGAGCTCTGATTCCCTGGTGGGTTGTTCTCAAAATCATGGGCCCCTCTTGGTCATAGACTATATTACGGCACCTAATCTTTAGGGGGAGCAAAATGTGCCCTAATTTTGGGAGCTACCCCTAGTGAATAGAGGAAATTTTTCACCGCTTGGGATCCCAAGTCTAATGTAACTCCAAGCTTACGAGGTCCCCAAAGGGTCCAAGTACCCAATAATTAGGTGCTTGGTTTTGGGTAATAGTAATTAGAGTACAGTTTTTGGGTACCCTAAACCCTAAATCCTAAACCCTAAACCCCAAACCCTAAACCCTAAACCTGTATTAGGTACTTGGACCTTTAGGGGGTCTACGGGATGGCGCAAGATTCCCTGCGCTGGAGATGATAGTTCCCTGATGCTTCTGTGGGATTTGGGGGAGTATGGTATTAGTTAGGTGGACCCCCTACCCAGTAATAGTGACTATAAGGGATAATGGTAATTATATTAGGGTCCTCTTATAGTCTTATTGTACCACTATTACAGGGTGGGGGGTCCTCCTAAGGTACCAGTACAGCTTACTACCATGTTGCAGATCCCTACAGGAGGTTCCCCATTTCGGAACAGCAATCTAGGCTACCTCCATTGTAAACTCCAAGCCCACACACACCTTCGCTAACTCCTAAGCCCCAAGCAGCAACAGGGGCGTTCAAAACAAACAAAAAACACTAAACCCAAAACCCAAAACCCTAAAACCTAAACCCAAAACCCTAAACTCTCCAAGAAAAATAAGCAACCCGAAGCCTTACATCCCAGACCAGGGTACCGAGTCATGTTGCGCCTCCCAGCAGCCGCAGCAGCTCGAGCTCTTTGCAGGCCACTGGTTAAGCTGCATGGGGGGGGGGGACCATCAGGGAGGCAGGGGATACATGTAGGTTGTATTACTATAATGGAGAATCAAATGGAAAAGAAAATGGAAAATGAAATGGAACCTGGGATTATACAGGGGATTATAGGGATTAGGGTTTCCCAAAATTAGGGGTCCCTTTTTTAGGGGTTCCCGTCATAAGGACTATAGTATATTGTGGTATATTTTGGGGTTCCCCCATTTTGGGAAACTACCACATAGCACAGTACTTTTGCCAGACCATCCCAGCTTCCACTTCATTGTCCATCTTCCTCTTCATGTGATTCTCCATTTTTGAAGTACTTACCCCTGTATGCCGGATATTGGCAGAGGAATTCTCAAGCTGATCACTGCCTGATTGAGGTCTAAGGGAAATGATAGCGGGTTATGCAAGGCCTATATGCGGGAAACTGCCCGCATTAAATTTCCCTGGATTTAGGGTTGAGAGTATAGGGTCTTATGGCAAAAGGGGTTCTGTTTTTCTCCGGGATGCGTTAGGAGCTTTGATTTTGAGAAAGGTCGAGAATGTCTCACAGCATGCTGGCCTCAGAACCCCCAAGGCAGGCTGCATGTTCGACCCGTCCCGAACCTGCCTGCAATTTTTTGCTACTTGAAAATGCCTTGCTACTTGAAAACACCTTAAACTCTAAACTCTAACCCCTAAACCATCTGAGCTGAAGTTCGAAGTCCCTGGTTATGTAGGGGACAATATGGGGTTCCTAGTATCGATGATAGGGCATGTGAAGGGGGATGCTCGGTGTTCAGACTATGGCTCATGTGCAGGCTTCCACGTGCGGTTGCGCTTGTTCCGCAGATCCAGGCCCGGGTCTGATGAAGCTTGGTGGTTTTAGGGTTTGGGTTTGGAGATTAGGCTTGAGGGTTTAGGGATTAGGGTTAAGGCTGGTGTTCACAATAGAGAGATTTTTGGGGTGTACAAGGGGCCTTAATTTTCGGAAGCACCGGTGATTTCCAGCAGTTGATATTGCTCCTGTCGTAGTCCGTAGCTGCAGAACCCCATTTGGAGCATGCAATTTGGAGTGCTTCAGTGGTGAAAGCTGAGATGCCTTAGATCTTGCAGCATTTGAGATGGGGTTTTTTGAAGACCTTCAGGTCCATGGAGCCCCCTTCTTGAGATCACATCATAGGTTCTACTTCATTAGGGTCAAGGAAGCTCCCTGCCCAGGCGCGCTCCGGGCGACGGAGCCCATGGCGGCAGAGCAGCCGAATGTTTAGCGCCGTTCAGCGGGAGTCGATGGAGATTGGGACTCAGTTGGTTTTGGTGCTGTTGCGAAGATGTTCACTGCTGCAAGGACTTGGAGATTGCATCTAGTGGTGCTTGATACTTTGGCTGTTGTCTTCACTACCGCAACTGCTACAACCAAGACTGTGATGCTAACTCTTTGTCGTCGCACGTCGATAGCTTTGCTCAGGTTTGATGTCCTCGTAGTTGGAGGCTCAAGGGTGGGCAACGGAGGGGAGAGAGAGGGACACAGCACGCTTGAGGCCGAGCCCCCGCGCACTTTGGGACAAGACAACAGCTACTTCTGCTGCTGCTGGAGCACCACAATGAGCACCACTGCTTCCACTTTCAGTCCTCGGGTCATAAAACGGTGGTGGACGGTGGTGCTGGCGGAGGCGCTGGCGGCGACGGTGCGGCGGCGGCGGTAATGGTAATGGAAGCATGGGTAGTAGCAGTAGCAGTAGCAGTAGCAGTAGTAGCAGAAGTAGCAGTACTAGCAGAAGCAATGGTCAGAGTCGTAGAAACAATAAGACGGGCATTTTCAGATTATCATTGTCATTTTTGCTGTCATTATTAGTAGTCGTCGTCGTGGTGGTAGCAGGAGCAGCAGAAGCCTGGGAGAGGTACTATAGGGACATGGCATTCCCAACAACAGAGTTAGATTAGGGGAAAAGCTTAGTATCAGAAGACATGCCTCACTTGAGCCATACTGAGAAAAGTCCTAGTAACCCCCTCAATATCCCCTGCAGTAGTCCCTTAGAAAGTTGTCAAGAAAACCACACTTTTAGGAGCTTGGACCCCAAACCCCAAACTAGGGGGTTCTACAATCTCCTCTATATATATATATATACATACCCTTTCAGGTGTTTAGACCCTAAACCCTAAACAATGGGCCCCGTGCGGGGTTCTATACTCCCCTGTATGATCCCTTTAAGGAGTTTGGATTCTAGCTCACTCGTTGCCAGGCGGGCCTGCGGGACTGGCTGCTGCCATTAGAGCGAAGCAGGCGGGTGTGCCCATGCGGCTAAGGTTTAGGGTTTAGCCCTAAACCCTAAACCTCTAAACCTGGGTTTAAGGTTTAGGGGTTTAGGGGTTTAGGCTCCTAAAGCTGGAGGGTTGCCCCTAACAGCAACAACTAGTCTAAACTCCTTAACGGGGGTTACATAGGGGATTATATAGGGGAGCATTATAGGGGCTATTAAGCATATATGTTTTTTGTCAAAAAAGGGGGGGGGGGGGTACCATTTTGGG